GCTCCTCCGTGCTCTTTCTTCTTTTGAAAACGTAACATAAAATTTTTCCATGCGTCTTTAGACGACTTTTATTTAAACCATAGTATGAACCTAATACTGGAAATTTCATTACATTTTCTGGTACAATAGATATTTTAATAAACGAGATTGGGCTTCCCGAATCTATGAGGCATTCTGTAATTAATGGGTCGTTAATAGAATCCTTAAAATAAATTTTAAATAATCTTACATAGTTGTTGCTGCTTCCACCCATATTTTTGACGCTGTTTCCACCGCCGCTTTTGTTCTGTTTTCCACCCAATGCCCCATCACGCCGCATGCAAATCACGTGCCATGTGCCCTTTTCGGTTTCAGACAATCCTTAGCTAGATGACCTCGTGAGTTACAATTGTGGCAGCGAATATTTCCACTGCGTCTCTCTCCAGCCACCACCGCTCTTTCAACATTGCTCCTTAACTCCTCCTGATCAATATTGATGTTGTGTGATAGCGTCAACTTGTCGTCCATTTATGTTGCAAACTTCTCATTAAATTTCCATATACGAACCTCAAACTTGCGTCTTGCCTCTGCTTTTGAATTTTTTTCGCCAAAGGCAAATATTAGTTGCTCACATAAATCCTCTATTGACTGCAACGCACGAGTTGCTGCAGCTTTCCAATCGTGTCGTCCCTTTCTAATTCCACTGACATCGCTTGACTCACTGTGTGTGCACGCAGGATATTATATTAAGAAGTAATAATCGACAATATGCTGGAGCTACACGGTCTTGTGTGCTACACGATCTTGTTTGCTACATTAGTATTTTGTAATAAAATAAGTTGTCAGTTTTTTCATTGTTAAAAATTAAGTTGACAGTCCCGCATTGTGCGATCGGGGCAGTTCATTGAGTAACGCCTTGAAGGCAAGACATACAGTGCATAATTTCCCTACATTTTGAATAGTTAAATACACTTTTATTTGATCAACATTGTGGTTTTGTACTAACGGTGTCTTTTAATGACTGCTTGGAAGTGGGAAAAATCGATTGACACCAGCCAATCTCGTGTCAACTACTGAATCTTGCTAGAGCAACAGGTCATTCGAACCAGATATATAAGTATATTTTCTGTTACAACAGGTAATGATAACGTCCTCCGGTACGCAACAGTACATTTGTTTTGTTTGTTTACAGTTACCGTCACGAGGCAACCACTGAGTAAGCGATAGTAAAGCAGAAACCGAATAACGGAGCTACGCATATTCTGCTTCGCATGCGGGCAGATGTATGTACATATGTATATGATATCATATAATTGATCTCAATAAATTATAAGATATTATTTAAATCTTCTGTTAATTCCATTCAAACTTCGATGGAACTATCGATAGTATCGGTGGAATTTTGAAAAGACGCAAAACGTTGCGTTATCTCTGTATATATGTATCAGAGAACTGCAACGAGTATGTTCGAGTATGTTCGACCACCCTTGCTGAAAATTCAATCAAATCAGATCTTTGCTTGGTTGCAAACGAGCACGAACGAGTTGAGTACTCTCAGCATTTTTCTTATGATCGAACTTGCATGAGCAATCTTTCCATTTTTACGAACAAGCACCGGTCTTGATTGATTTGCTTTCGAGCACACCAGGCTCGGTCACGTTGCTTATTGCGGTCGGTTCGAACGAGTACCGGCCTTGACTGGTTTGCTTTCGAACAGTTCAGGCTCGGTCACTTCGAGTATTCTGTTCGTTGCGAACGGGTACCAGCCTTGATTGGTTTGCTTTCAAACACTTCAGGCTCGGTCACTTCGTTTAAGATGACTGGGTCCTGATCGAAGCAAACCAGACTTTGCAGAATGAGCGTTTGATCGAACGAGTATAGTGCCGTTATTTGTCGAGTATTATTATTATATATACTCGAGTATTCCGCGGGTTTTACCCGAGTATGACTGTATGAAATATGCATGTATGTACATACTTATGTATTTGTGCGTGCATGTGTTGTTTGCAATTATGCGCAAACATGTGTATATGTATGTAGATATTTTAAATAAAGAGGTACAGAATGAAAAGAAAACATATGTATACATATATTTATTTTTATATTATGATATTCAGCATAATTTTATTTCTTAAAAAAGGAACTCAAATATCTTAAAATAATCAAATTAATATAAATTAAAATAGCATAACTTTATTTAATTTAAATAAAAAGGAAGGTATTTCTTTTCGCTAATAGTTTTGTTGGCTTCTTTAATTTATATGCATTTACATACTTGTATACGATGTTACTATTTAACTAATAGCCGAAAAAACAATAGAAAATGCAAGTGCACGTGCACGCGCCGATATCATTGGTCATTTCGGTCATGCGGGCATGGTTGTAAATACGACATTCGATCATTTCTTGTACACAGGCAAAAAGTTTCGGTCACCGCCGCTCATTCTGAGTCTGCAGTTGTGAGTCGAACTGACTGGTTGGCGAGCGTTCGTTCGCAACCGGGCACAACCGCTCACTTCTGAGTTTTTGCAGTTGTGAATCGAACTGACTGTTTGGTGAGGGTTCGTTTAAAACCAATCATTGCTTGCATTCATGCAAGAAGTTTCGGTCACAACCGCTCATTTCTGAGTTTTTGCAGTTTTGATTCGAACTGAGTGTTCGTTGAGGGCTCGTTCGCAACCAGTCATTGCTTGTCACTATACCCAAATGAAATAATCATACCGAGTATGACCGAAAATGTAGTACTCGTTGCAGTTCTCTGATATGTATCAAACAGTTTGTGCTGACTGACTGACTGATTGGTAAAATGTAGGAAGCTGAAATTGACTCAAGTATCCCTTCATAGTATAGATGCCCACTAAAAAGGGAACCGATTGACCTACAACTTGGTTACATACTTGCTTTTTGGAATGTTTTCTTGGAAACTAAATAATTGGGACTTTCATGAAACACAACATAAAACCGCGTCAACAGCCACAGCGCAAACGGTTAGTGTAGCTGCGCACTAAGGCTATTGGAAAATTCGATCTCCTAATAGGGGAAAACGGGTTTTACAAATATATTAGTTATAGTGGTCAAACGTACATACGTTTGATGAAATATTTTGGCAAGAACAAACATGTAACGGACTACTGAACAATTTTTTCTCAAGGTCAGAAAATGTTCATTTAAATACGTTCTTACTGGTAACTAATATGGTGAAAACATATGGGGAGGTCACACCACAAAACACAAAATAAATACAACTTGAAACATTATACTGAGCCGGGTTAAGACGGGCAATACCTTCTAGTGTGATAAAGGATGAATTCATCAATAAACATAAGTATGAAAGTTCTCAGCACATGTGGATACATGTTTATCAGTTTTCGTCTATTATGCCTATGAAATCTTTAAAATGCATCAGTCATTCTTTGTTTTATTTATTAATATTAATCTAATAAAAAAATAGTAACTGCTTTTTAAAAAAATAATGTTAATAACAAAAAATTAACTTAACTGGAAAACGTCAATGCATCCACTTGTGCACGTTATCGATTTTTATAGCCTGTACCCAAAAGGTGAAAGGCTATAGTAGTTTTGTGCGAATGTATGTAACAGGCAAAATGAGGCGTGGCAGAGTCCACATTGATCATGATGGCAAGCCGAGTCGATATGAGCGCAAGGACCTCAGAAGGTACAAAAGCTAGAATGACCAAACTTGGTATCCAGGTTCCCCTGAGCCCTAGGCAGGTCGTTTTTTTTTTTTTTTTTTTTTAAATTCTGATACACCTCCCCCCTTCCCCCCCCCCCCCCCCCCCAATTCGTGTTTTTTTCTATAACTTCCGTAATTCTTGGAATTTTGAAATAAATTTTGGTCGATACATCCAGTTATCAAGGTATGCAAAGTTTCATCATGATTGGTCAATTCTGAAGAAAGTTATAGCCATAAATAACATTGCTGCCCATGCGCTGCCTGCAACTCTGCCCGCAGCTGTTGTTGTTGTTGCTGCTTTGGTTCAACTTTGTGCTGCATACATACACGCATATAAGCACGCATAGACACGACGATGTAAATGTATGCTGTTAAAACTGTACATAAACATGTCTTCTATGTATGAATTAAATAAATTTTCTTTTTTAATTTAATAAATTAATTCAATTTTTTTTAATAACTTAATTTTTTTTTGTGGAGAGTATAGGTTATTTTACTGTCTGGCTTGCTCGACTGTAGCGTTCTCTCTTGTTTTTTATTTAAATTGTTTATTTTAATTTTTGGTCCAAAGACCCTTAGCTTTAATTACACTATTTATGCAATTGGGAATATTATTAACTAAACTTTGTATGTGGTCGCGTGGAATCATGCACCACTCCGCCTGCACGCAGCTCCACAGCTCATCCAAGCTCTTTGGTGGAGAATCGTACATGGAAATATTCAGCAGAGCGTATAAAGTGATAAACATGTATCCACATGTGCTCACCACTGTATGTATCTACCTAACATATGTACATATGTATTAGGCTGTGGAGGATTAATAAGCCCTCATTGATCCCGCTATAAATGTGTTGCGTTCTATGCATACCGGATCCGATTAATAAAAATAAAAGTGGAACAAATAAAAACACTCTGAACCGACAAAATTGAACAAAATTAAATACCTGTGTGGTAGCGAAATTAATAGCACGCGCAACGTCTCCTGTTAACAGGCGTGAGTAATGTCCATTGTTTATTAAAAAGTGGGAAGATAAACTCTCATACGGCTGAACTAACGTAGAGCTCAAAGCCCCCTTACCGCTGGATAAGTTTAGGAAAGCGTCAATTTCTCTTACTGAATAGAGGGTGCAAGGTTGTACAGCCTTTTCTTTTTTTTACAAGAGAAACTGTAACGATTGGCGGGCACATACAGCGAGAAAGCAGCGTGTAATGCCATACTTTTCACAACTAAAAGAATGTGTGGAATACCGGGAATCGCCAAAGGAGCTAGCAGCTGACAAAGCCTCTTATTAATTAATATTTTGTCTAACAATAAGAATTGAGTTGGTCGGGTTTTAATAAGAAATTTATTTCCACATGTTTAGAATGAAATGAGAAAATGAACTTAGTAAATTCGATATATCGTATTATGCAATGCACCAACGCTCTTACGAATTCGCTCTGGAAATAGATCAAGGATTAATGGAAAATAAAAATGTCAACATTGTTCAAACACATGAATAAAAGTAACTAAATATAACTCTCATCTTACATTATCACCATGTCTTGTGAACGTCAAATGTGGTGTTAACTGTATATACAAACGACTTCCCTTTCCTTTTCATTCTACACTTAAAATTGAATATTGACGAATTGATCTCATTCAGAATATTATTAAAATTAAAATATGTATGTACGTATTTACTTGAAAAAGATATGAATTTCATGAGTCAGCATTCCTCTTACATTATATACTGTGATATTACCAACTATTTAGGTGAAAACAGGTTAATAATAGAGAAAAATCTAGAACTTCCGATGATAATTCCCCTTCATATTTTAGTTAAGATTTATTTTCATGGCATAATAATACATACCAAGAGAAATCGGCCAGCCCAGATCAAAACTGTCTCAGACCACTGAAGCGCTGGAAGTACGTTTATTAACGATTTTTATATGAGAAATGTATATATGAAATAGAAACGCATATTTGGCATAAAAACAATGCTTTTTTAAATTATGTAAATCGCTATAACTTTCTATATGGGTATATTAGTTATATTTAGTATTTATTCAAAATTTGATTGGTATTAATTATTTCCGAAAGTCATTGCTTCGGCACAGGACTTACATAGTTTTATCTGGGAAATATGTATATTTTTCAAATTCATATAGAAAAGGTTGAATCAGTTGTATTGTTACACCAGAGAGGTAAAATAAAACTTATATCTATTTATTTAATATATGCAGTATATTGTTAAGGTATGATTTAAAACTTGTATGTTTTTATATATTCGATCAGTTGTAATAGACACACATTACCTTCAACATTAATACCTTACCAAGATTGAGTACATTATTTTATTTTTATTTTTTGCCATTTTCTGAGCATGTCTTGAATAAAATAGTTATAATTCGTACAATGTTTTCAATTAACTGATTTGTTGAACCCTGCCGGCTTTGATTTTGAATTTAAAATAAATACCGATGGTCCTGCAAATAACGGCATATATTTAGACAAAAATAATAATAACCTATAACAAATGTATGAATTTGATCAAGTTATGTATAGAATATATTCATAATATATATATTGTTCTCTTGAGGTGCGTGTGGTGATTATACTAAGTGTAATATTGCTCACTTAAAATGTGAAAAAACACTCACACCCACTTATGTAGAAGACAGCTTTTTATTCCGATGAATGTAATGAATACATATATGCTCAATTTGTGCCTTACCACCAGATGGCTGTGAACTCTTCTTTGTTTTAATAGCCCATTGATTTTTAAAAATCTAAAAGTACAAAAATGGCTCACATCGAGATTTTGCATATGTATATATGTTCAAATGTAAGATCTCACAACTGTGCTAAAGAATGCCTCTATTTACTAATATAAAGGGCGCAACTTGCCTTCAAAGAAACTCCGATTTGTAGGTCGAAAACCATTTTAAATAACGTATGTTGGGACTGAAATTAAATATAAGTTTTATATTCAAAATAAATAAATATTAAAAGATGCATGGTAATTAATTATACATGCTCTGCAATATTAATGTATACTCCAAAACGTGTCATAACAATTTTTCAATTCTGTAAGTATATTATGAGAACCCATATCTTTAACAAAAGTATTTGTTGCATTCGTACATAAGAAAATATTTATATTTTTAACAAATTTGATATTTCTTAAAGACAAGCTAGTTTCCTTATAAAATTCAAAAAGTCAATAAGTGAATGGATTTGTAATGATAAATGTAAGCCAATTTTAAACATGTATTACCTAAGTATAAAAATCTTACCACATCGCCAGGTTCATAAGTACGAACGAAATACACGAGCATCAAGCATATCCAACTTAGAATCTGAATAGACATGTGTAGTAACCGCACTAAATTAACTTATGTCTCTAGCTGTTCTTAATTGTAAAAGAAGTTGTTATATAATCAGTGGGGTGTTGATGTGTCAAAATATAGCAAACTGTTTTGTATTTGAAGGCAAACCAAGTCTACACGTGTGTGTAGTTACTCGTTTCGTAATAGCTGTAACAAGTTCCGGTTTTAAATTTAAATCTCACCACTAAGAATTGAATTCCATTATTATTTAAGTTACGTTAATTAGCTTCCACGGAGAGGGATAAATGTCCTTTAATTATGTTGACTGACGAACAAACTATGTATCTCAACGCTTTCTGTGTATATAAATTTTGTAAATATGTTCAGCAAAGTAAGAAACAAGACCACGTATTTCAAAAATTATTACTTAGTAGCTATTTAAATGGGTGTAAGAAAGGATAAATCATACATAATAAAAAGTAAGCATAGAAATGTACAATAATGAAACAGTTCACGCCCCGAGATCCTTGTGGTTGGTAGATGAATGTCATGACTGTGGCCGTTGCTTTTGTTGTTTTGCTAAGTGGTTGGGGAAATACATAGAGTAGCAATAAACCACTGCAAAGATTTGCACGCGTAGGAGATAAAATGTGGTAAATTTAATAAGTAATATATATTAAAAAAACATATATATTAATATATATATAAATATAGAACTATATGTAAAATATAAAACAAATGGTAGCAACATCATTTGCGTGACAAACATTTTTAATATGTATATGAATATGTACATGTGTTGGTACGATGTGTTGCGATGTTTTATACACATTTATATAGTACCAACACATGTACATAAACATAAATTACAACTATTTGTCACGCAAATTCTGTTGTTCGTATTCGTTTTATGTATTACATATGTATATAACACATTCCAAGAATGGGTTTATAACTCACCCACAAGGTACCCTTATTAACCACATTTGTTTAACGGCCACCGACGCCCGGCTGCGGTGGTTGTTGTTGGTTCGCAGCAGCCGCTGCAGCATAATAAGAATATTGGGCATATTGGCTAGGAGTCATACCTTGTCCTTGCACATATCCACTGGCAGCGCTAGTAGGTGCATTAGGGGTACTTTGATTGGTTCCCACCTGGTTGAGACTAACCCCATTATTAATACCACCGTTACCACCATTTTGCTGCTGTAAAATCAAAAAAGACTTAGATTATTAAACAAACCTACATTTACACCAACGTACCTTCGATTTAAGCTGTTTTTCAATTGCTTCCGCTTCCTCTAGTTTACCAACACTGCGATAGTATTCCGCCCATTGCGCGCTGTAGTCTGCAGTTTGGTTGCCACCAGGCACTTGTTGCGATTGCTGTTGCCCTTGGTGGGATTGCTGATGCTGCTGGGCCACTTGGTTTCCCGATCCTGTATTGGCTTGTTTGGCTTTCATTTGCTGCTCTATCATGTCAGCTTCGCGATGACACCCCATTTGCCTAGAAAATATGTGAAATTGTGACCAACAGCTGGGGAACTTCTATAACACATACTTGTAATACTCAATCCACTGTGCTGAATAATCTTGACCAGCACCACCTGTGCTGACGCCGGTTCCACCAGCCGGAGCTCCTGAAAGGACCATTTGCTGCTGCTGAGACGTATCCCAACCGCACTGACCATAGCCCCACGACTGTTGTTGATAGGCGGCGGCAGCTGTAGCAGCTGCATTTGAGTCGCTGTTTTGCATTTGATTGCCACCGTTATAGCCGACTTGTGGTTGATTATTCTGGATAGTATTGGAACTTATCCCACCACCACCATTAATGGGCTTACGCGAGATAATAGTTAAGTCCATGTTAATTTTTTCGGCTATCATTTGGCGTGCAGCCTCCACCTGCTCAGTGGAGCCTTTACACTTAAAAAGCTTCTCATTGGGTGGATTATTAGCATTTCGATCCATTTCAGTATGAGCGCCAGATTGTTGATTTATAAGCTTTATTGTTTCACCACCGCGACCAATGACGATCTGCAAAGGGAGCAAGGTCATACTTATGGCTAAACAAAAAATAAAAACACAGCTTACACCACATTTAGAAGCTGGTACATGAAACGTAATTTCTTCGCGGCCGCCCTGTTGGGCATGATTAACGCCGTAGCCATAGCCGTAGTGAGAATTTCTCGAATCGCTTTGGGTGCTACTACCGCTATTACCAGAGTTTCCATTTCGATTCATTCCGTTACGTTGCTATTTGAAGGGCTTACATAAATCATTATTGTTCTACGACTATCACTGCCTCCTTACCATAACGTTCTCGATAAGTCCGTCAATTGTTCGCTTAGCGTCGTCTACTTGCTGCCGAGTACCCTGAATGACACATCGACGATCTCCGAGCTCATCATTTTTCCCCTGTATAAACTGTAACTTACAGCCACAGTCCGTTTGTATCTTACGTATCATATCGCCTCCTTTTCCAATAACCACTCCAACCGCAATTTTCGGTACAAACACCTCTACGGTCTCGCCGCCATTGGACCCATTGTTGAAATTGTTGTAGCCAAGGCCGGAACCTCCTGCCCCGCTGCCGCTACGTCCGCCTTGCTGCTGCACTTGCGCATCTTTTTGGGCTATAAGGTCCAACACCATTTGTTTCGCATGATCAATCTTCTGTGGATCACCAGAAATTCGTAATGGCTTAATAACTTCTTGGTTGGGCCCATCCTGAATAATGATCATCTTTGCACCAGTTTTCTCCTGTAATTGTTTTATGGTATCTCCACCTTTTCCTATGACGAGGCCAACTTTAGCGCCCGGTATCATAATCTCTTGATATGGTGGGTAGCCGCTTGGTCCCGGTGGCGGCATATTTATGGTTAGTAACACTTCCACTATGCCGTTGCCCGAGCTTCGGTTGACCATCTGCTGCAGCATTTCGCGCCCTTTGGTGACGCATTCGCGTGAACCTCGAAGCGTTATAACTCGTTCCTGATCTTGCATGAGCTGAAGCTTAGCGCCAGATTCAGCTTGCAAATGGTTGATGGTATCGTTACCGCTACGACCGATAAAATTATTCACTACGCATTCGGGAATGCGCACCTGTTCCTCGCATGTTGTTCCAGCCGAAGCAGCTAACCGAGCAGCTACAGCTGCGGCCTGAGCAATGGCTTGGGTGATGTTGGCTCCACTTTGCCCACTGCCCCCGCAACTACCACTGCTAACATTGGAGTTGTTTTGTCCATAATCCGGACTTCCAAAGGACCGTTTGCAATCAGGTCCACTGTCGTTGTCTTCGTGATGTCTTTTGAAGTTATTACTTCCACTAACTACCCCACTTCCACCAACACTTTGCTGTTGCTGATTTGGTTGAATTTTTGCAGCAATCTATATGTACACAAACATTTTTATTTTAATGAGGCATTCTAAATTTTATATTTCGTTTCGTCGAAGAACTGCCATTTTTATTAAATCATCACTTGTCTTACCTGCTTTGCCCGCTGAATGGCAGCTGCAAGTGCCTGCGATTGACTTAAATTGGCTTGCTGCGTTTGAAAATCACTCATATCTGCAATACCTTTTTCTCTTTCTGTTAGTTTTTTTTTCTTAATAACCCACACACCCTTTGCACAGAATTGAAAATTCAATAAAATTAAGTGGAGGCTGTATTTTTATCACTGATAAAAAATGTTCGTATATTTATCAAGCAATTATACTTTTGTGAAATAATCAAGTCCGCTTAGCCGTTGTTAATATTATCCTCCGGTAAATAAAATCTTTAATATTCACACAATGCAAAGTTCTACGAAAATATGTTAGACGGAAGTATCGATAGCAGTAAGTAAAAAATGGTAGAGAACGACAAAAATGAAAGCAATACCGAATATTTTCGATTATTTATAGGTATCGGAAATAAAAATTGTAATTGCACATTTAGGTCAAACGATTCTTACTTAGGCTGGATATTTTGTAGAAATGTTGAAAAGCTAAAACATCAAATATCAATTTTGATATATTTTTAATAACAAATGAGATTTTGACATTTTTGTGTACCAAATATCGGTATTATCGATTTCCAACTGACCCAGTATGAAATGAATTGCAAATTATTTTACTCGTTTTTTAATACGAAATTTAAGATGTCAGCTTTGATAGTCAAAACAAGAAAACAACACTCAAATAAATTTTATAATAAATTAATAACTAATTATAAACAAGTAAAAAAGCTAAAGTCGGGTGTCCCGACTTTGAAATACTCTGTACATATGTTTACAATAATTATAGAAAAAACAAAATGAGAAAATATTAAAAAATTTGATCGATTTTACCTTTCTCGGTATTCGAACTCACGTAAAGGGTATATACTTGCACATATACAAAGCAATTGCGTCTATGTGAGTGTATGTATGTTTATGTGCGTCTATTTGTGTCTGTGTAAGCATTTTCGCAGTCAACTAAACAGCAACATCAACAATAGCCGTGGGCAGCGCTTGGGCAGCGCTTGAGCAGCGCTGCAGCAGCAAATATATTTATGGCTATAACTTCTTGTTAAATCGGTCTATCATAGTGAAACTCGTCATACGGACACATAATAACCAACTGGTGGTATTTCCAATATTTTAGTTCGAAATTCCAAGAATTACGGGAGTTAGAGAAAATTGCATTTGCGTGGGAGAGGGGGGAGGGAGGGAAATTCCAAAATATACATTTTCTGCGTATTCACACAAGGCATCTGGGACTCAAATTTTGTGTTCCTAGGTCTTATAGTCTCTGAGATATAGGCGATTATACAAATGGAAAATCGGGAAAACCCCCATAGGAGGGAAGTGGGGGGGAAAATCAAAAAAATAAAACAAACTCGTATAGCGTACACACATAAGGCATCTTTGTGCAAAATTTGGTGTCTCTAGCTCTTATAGTCTCTGAGATCTAGGTGATCATACGGACGGACAGACAGACAGACAGGGCTAAATCGATTCGTCTTGTCATGCTGATCAAGAATATATATACTTTGTGGGGTCTACCACGCCTCCTTCTGCCTGTTACATTTTTCAGCTCGCGCAAACCTAATATACTCTTGTACATTTCATGTACAGAGTATAAAAAAATTTAGAAATGGCTATATTGACTCGACATATCAGAGAACTGCAACGAGTACTACATTTTCGGTCATACTCGAGTATTTACCCATACTCGGTATGATTATTTCTTTTGGGTATAGTGACAAGCAATGATTTGTTTTAAACGAACCCTCACCAAACAGTCAGTTCGACTCACAACTGCAAAAACTCAGAAGTGAGCGGTTGTGACCGAAACTTCTTGCATGAATGCAAGCGATGATCGATTGCGAACGAACGCTTGCCAACCAGTCACTTCGACTCACAACTGCAAAGACTCAGAATGAGCGGCGGTGGCCGGATCTTTTTGCCTGCGTACAAGAAATGATCGAACGTCGTATTTACAACCATGCCCGCATGACCGAAATGACCAATGATATCGGCGCGTGCACGTGCACTTGCATTTTCTATTGTTTTTTCGGCTATTAGTTAAATAGTAACATCGTATACAAGTATGTAAATGCATATAAATTAAAGAAGCCAACAAAACTATTAGCGGAAAGAAATACCTTCCTTTTTATTTAAATTAAATAAAGTTATGCTATTTTAATTTATATTAATTTGATTATTTTAAGATATTTGAGTTCCTTTTTTAAGAAATAAAATTATGCTGAATATCATAATATAAAAATAAATATATGTATACATATGTTTTCTTTTCATTCTGTACCTCTTTATTTAAAATACCTACATACATATACACATGTTTGCGCATAATTGCAAACAACACATGCACGCACAAATACATAAATATACTCGGGTAAAACCCGCGGAATACTCGAGTATTACCCGAGTATAGCTCGCGCAATACCCAAATAATACTCGACAAATAACGGCACTATACTCGTTCAATCAAACGCTCATTCTGCAAAGTCTGGTTTGCTTCGATCAGGACCCAGTCATCTTAAACGAAGTGACCGAGCCTGAAGTGTTTGAAAGCAAACCAATCAAGGCTGGTACCGGTTCGCAACGAACAGAATACTCGAAGTGACCGAGCCTGAACTGTTCGAAAGCAAACCAGTCAAGGCCGGTGCTTGTTCCTAAAAATGGAAAGATTGCTCATGCAAGTTCGATCATAAGAAAAATGCACTTAGCGAGTAAGTCACAGAAATCTGCAAGGGGTACTACATTTTCTGACATACACGAGTATTTACCCATACTCGGTATGATTATTTCATTTGGGTATAGTGACAAGCAATGACTGGTTGTGAACGAGCCCCCAACGAACACGCAGTTCGAATCAATACTTGAAAAACTGCAAAGACTCAGAATGAGCGGTGGTGACCGAAACTTTTTGCATGCGTGCAAGCAATGATCGAACGTCGTATTTACAATCACACCTGCGTGACCGAAATGTTCGGTAGAGTTCGGGTAGTTCTCGAGCAATGATATCGGTGCGTGCACTTGAATTTTCTATTGTTTTTTTCGGCTATTGGTTCAATTGCAACATCATATATTTCGATCAAACGTCCATTCTTGTAAGTCTGGTTGGTTAAACCCGCGGAATACTCGAGGCATACTCGGGTAAAACCTGCGCAATACTCGAGTAATACCCGAACAAGACTCGAGCAATAACGGCACTGTACTCGTTCGATCAAACACTCATTCTCGAAAGTCTGGTTTGTTTCAATCAGGATTCAGTCATCTTAAACGAAGTGACCGAGCCTGAACTGTTGGGAAGCAAACCAATCAAGGCCGTTCGAACCGACCACAATAAGCAAAGTGATCAATCAAGTCCGGTGCTTGTTTGTAAAAATAGAACAATGGCTCATTCAAGTTCGATCATAAGAAAAATGCTGAGAGTACTCAACTTTAAAGATCTGATTTGATTGAATTTTCAGCAAGTGTGGTCGAACATACTCGTTGCTGTTCTCTGGTATGTACCCCTTGGGGTACACACACAACTGTGAACAGGAATTTGACATAAATTCAAATATTATTAAAAATATTATGCCTTTTTTAAAATTAAGTCATTTTAAGTCGGCTCAGAGGTTTTATTATCATTATCATTAATTAGAATAGGCATGACCTTCTAATTTTGTTCCCTTGAATCTATGGAAAATATATGTACAAGTATTAGTTCGGGACCGAATTTGATGCGCCGACTTTAAAATGTGTCTGCATATGAATACTAAATTTACGCATATACTTACATAGTCAGAATCTGGTCTCCGGACATTCATAAGGGCAGGGTAGTTCCCTCGCTCATAGCAATAGATACGTTTATAATTATGCTGGGAAGTATTCGTTTCATGAAATGACGAATCGTCGTACATTTGTATATAGATTCCCATTTTATGTTTAGCTACCACCTTCGACTTAAAAGGACTTAATGTAACTTCATGAAATTTTATTGGCCCTGGAAAGCCAGCAGGAATCCCACAATGAAAATTTGTTCAAGAGTAGTCTCTTGGTCGAATAATGGCACTACTCTCATCGCATTAGCATGATTTAGTTCATAATAAATTTACAACTGTCGCGTTATTGCCAAATAAAAAGTAGGCTAAGGTCATGAGGAACTATTTGATTTTCAATTGAACTTCAATTTTCACATCGCAATATGTGTAAATAGCAGCTACAAAATTATCGTATCGCAGTTGTCGTAGATACGAGATGGTAGCACAGTTCTCACTACACATCAAACGGGTCCCTATTCATATACACATAGACGGAACCTATATAGACGACGAGCTGGCAAGGCACGATACTACTGTCCCTATCCCTCCTGATAAGAAATGTAACGATATTCAGAAAGCCAGCTGCAAACTCTCAGTCCAAAACCACTTCAAGGCTGTTGTTGAATCGACGAAATATACGCCCATAAAACACACGTATAAAGTGGCATATCCGCAGCGAGCGAAGAAACCAAGGAGCATTTCCAAATTCATCCAAGCCCCGGGATGGATGAAATATATATTCAGTCACGGAAAGAAACCATGGGAAGGCGGGATTGTGGAACAGTCCGAGTGGCAACACAGCGGCCAGGTGAGTCAGGGTTACATGACTATTATGACGTAACCTAACCTAACCTAGCGAGTATTTCAAGACATCTCATTTTAGCTTTTCGATATATCTAATAAAGACATAAAAATAATCGTTGGAATATATATCAACAATATTTTACATTTCGTATGTGTATTATTAAATTAGTTAATTACCTTATCTCTATTTAAAACAAAAAGACCAATAAAAGTGCCGACTTGGCCCAGATTCGGGATGTCATGTGAATTGGATTTTCCGTTTTCCTTAAGTAACTTAATTTAAATTAACGTTTCTTATTACACTTCGCTGCTTTGGGTAACGCGGTCATATAGACATTTTAAATTCTTTCTTTCGGCGACAGTAATGCCAACTGGTGTTAACATTTTTACATTTTGTAAAAGCCTGCTTAACAGAAGAAGTAAGCTGTCACTACCAATTTCAGCTCCTCATGTAAAGGTTTCATAATATTTATGTAGGTATTTTGCTTTACAAAATCACGTTTTTAAGTTAATAATGTTGAAATGTATGTATTTTGCATGCCGATTTTATTGTCTTAAAATATAATCATTATAACTGAAATACTTTTGGAGTTAGAAGAGAAGAGAATATTCCGTTTTCTGTGATTAATTTTTATAGCCTGAATCCAAAGGGGAAAAGGCTATACTAGTTTTGTAAGGAATGTAACACACAGAAGGAGGCGTGGCAAGCCCCACAAAGTATATACATATATTCTTGATCAGGATGACAATTCGAGTCCACATAGACATGTATGTCTGTCCGTCCGTCTGTATGAACGCAAGGATCTCAGAAGGTACAAGAGCTAAAATGACCAAGCTTGATATCCAGATTCTCCTATGTCCGAGAAAGTACGAGTTCCTGTTTTTTTTCTGATGTCCCCCCCCCACTCCCCCGCAATTAGTTTTTTTTCCCATAGCTGCCGTAATTTTTGGAATTTTGTACTCAGATTTGGCAAATACCTCCAGTTAGTGATTATGAGTCCGTATGCCAAGTTTCATTAAGATAGTTTAATTATGACGAAAGTTATGGCCATAAATAATTTCTCTGCCGAAACTCTGCCCGCAGCTGTTGTTGTTGCTGTTTTGACATAATTATGTATTGCATACATACACGAATATAAGCACGCATAGACACGATGATGTAAATGTATGCTGTTGAAACTGTACATAAACATGTCTTCACTTTTGTATGTATATATGTATTAAATATAAATAAATAATTTATTTAATTTAATTAATTAAATTTTTTTAAATAATTAATTTTTGTTAAATAATTTGTTTCTTAATTTCTTTGTTTGTGGGGAGTACATGCTATTTTACTGTATGTATGTCTGTAAGAATATACTTCTCTGAAATTGCTCAGGGTAGAATTTGTTGCCTGAACTTTTGGTGTTCAACGGTAGTGAAGGTGTTCGGGTTAAGTATGAGTGTTCGAAGTATTTTTGCGAGGAATAGAAATGTTTCTATCTTGCGGCTGTTTGTGCCAAGATGTTTGACAGTATAGCATTTTTCTGTCCGAAGATCATTTGTACAAAATATTTGGGAAATACAGACGTACCAAATGAGCGAAGAATTTTTGGGTCAATTCATTGATTGACCCAAACTGAACCATCGTTGTGGAAAAATAAGACAAAAAAATATCATTTGCGCAATAAAGCATGGGAAAATGTACTCATGTTGTTGCTATACGCATATTTTAATTACCATCATGACGAAAAACGTGTTACTGTTGGCATCCATATTAACGTGCGCAATTAGTGATATTTTTGGGTAAATGATGCAAGCGAAAAATGTTCGCCTGGTTAGTGGGCAAATGCATTTGCGCTGCCGAACAAATTCAGGCAACAAATTCGCGTGTGGATGGCCTGCTTCACCTAACGAGCATGAACAGTACGTTTCAAAATTTGCTCCCATGCATTGATGCTCTATCAATAGCGCCCTCGACAACAGGGCCATGCCCATAAACGGAATATTCACTTCCGTTGAACCAAGACTTACATAGGAAGAAGTGTTCGATGTATTTGATAGGGCATAATATCAAACAGGTAGGTATTATTGAAATTTCATTTCATAAGTTACCAGTTAAAATAAAACAAGTAACTAGCATTCGTTCATACTTGTGTAAAATAAAAACACAAGAAAACTACATTTAACTCACATCTTTCGAAGTGAATTCATTATGCTTGCAATGGATTGCACTGGAAGTGGTATCCGAAAAATCTCAAAGCGTTGATTTATGAACTGTTTTTATGGAAGAAATAGAAAGCATTAGTTACAGCAACAACAATCGTATTTTTGTCTGTAATTTTTAACTAAACTTAGAAGTAGTTAGCTAAGAGAGATCGATTATAAAAACAAAATATCGATTCTTTGCACTAAATAAGGAATGTATTGATTCGATTTCTTATCAAGTGTTTCACAGTTTTAGTACCGCAAATTTCTTGCACCGTATAAGATAAAGTTGAAAACGGTAAAAAGGTGAAAGAGCCTACACACTCAAAACATGCATAACGATTGGTTGGGATATTTGTATGCCGCCACAGTCACTGCCGGCGGTATCATGGGCTATGCAAAGGCTGGTAGGTTGTTTTTATATTAACTGTATACATACATATGTATGTACGTATCAGTGCTGTCATTATTTTTTTGAGCAAAAACAGCTAGATTGCCAAAAAATAAAGCTAAATCCAAGGCAAAATAAACTAAAAAACAAGCCTGCTTTAAAAACACCATTTTCTTGGTTGAATTTAAGGAAATATCTGTTTTAATGTTTTCATATTAATTATATATTCTTAATTCATAATTTATAATAATAATATGAGATTATTGTAAAAATAATAATAGAAAATTCACATTAAAATCAAGCTACAAATTCTACAGTTGTTCATCTAAACTCACTGCCTCTTCGTCAGGATAATTTTGTTTTTACGATTAAGTCCGTATCTTAAATTGAAAATTAATTAATATAATTATGAATATGGTTTATATTGCTTACAAAAAACCTAACTTAAGCTTAAAATGGAGTTAAGCGTATTTAAATTCATCCCATTACTTAATTTGGATTTAACGTAGTTCACCTGGCTGAAGACCCGCTCCACTTTGTTTATACACTTTTATCTTAACACAGCGAAGAAGTCTGGAGATGATTTTGATAGATTTTATTATCGAAAGTCGCTTACCACTGCTTATATTCATGATTTGAAGTGTTGACAAAGATAAGGGAAAAAATATATGGTGAAAAATAAAGTAAAGCTGGAAAAAGGAAAATACAGCTAGAATTCCCACAACCCGCTATTTTCGAATTTTTTCCGCACTGGCATTCAAAAAAAGCCAGATCTAGTGGGAAAAAAGCTAAAATGACAGCACTGGTACGTATGTACATTTTTACCTACATTGTATGTATGTACATAAATGTTTATTTACATGCATTTTGGCAAAGATACATATGTATGTATGTACGTACATATTTTTGTTTTTTATTTTCAACCAGATAAGCTTCGAAGTTACATCAGTTTGAATTTTGAAGCTGTAACTGGTCCGTAAAAGGGTCAATAGAAAAAGGAAACTTAGTTTTATAGTAATTAATACTTGTAGTTCGATTATTTCAGAAAAAAAGTAAAATATTTGGCACGCTTTACAACTGCATTTCAACGGAAATAGTTAAAAATATATGTTTTTGTTACATATACTTTTGCGACACAGGGTTCTTTTAACCGGAGGTGATTGGTTCGTTATAATCTGAATACAATACGAAAACAATTGTGCAAACTTGGCACTAGGTAGTGCGCGAATCGCGATCGAGCTTACAAAAACCAAATACGATCTGTGTTTATCCATGATCTGTGTTTATCCATCTGAGATAATAGAATTAAACAGACTTAATTCCTTCGACAATAAATTGATGTCGGAAATGTGTGTGTGTCGACTTCTGCGCAAGTATGTAGATGGAAGATGGGTTTACTCCAGCTACAAACGTGTAGTCTGTTTAGAACCCCTTGTTTTGTGCGAATATAGAAGGAGGCGTGGCAGATATATATATATATATATTCCTACATAAAAAATGCAGATTACAGGTTTATAGCATCCGTACGAGAGAGAAACAGACCAAAAAAAGGCAACCTGAATCTGCAATACAATAATTATGAGATTGTATCGAGCTGTTGATTATAGTTCAAGTTGGCATGTTGATATTAGCCAGATGAGTCATGTCTGTACCTACTGCCGGGATCTAAAGATCAAATTGCCTCAACTTCAAGCAATGAATCGAAGCATTTCCTTGTTTATAAATGATGCAGTTTTGAACTCAAAGACAAGATGGCTTTCCAAATTTGATTGGTATTTGCAATCACTACAATAAGTATTGCAAAGTTAAACATATATTAACCATATGATTTGTTTCGTTCCTCATTTCTCATCCACAATGTCCTACAGCGAAAGGTGGCAGGGCGGCTAGTACATATGTATGTATACTATGTAGATATTTTGTGTATAAAGATATACTTGTATTTACCAAATTTGGTATTGAAAAATTCACTCAGCACCAAAAACATTGTTTATGACATATGAATCTCACTCTATCATGTAGCTGCCATATGCGAACCTGATGTACAGAAGGAGTCGATATGCAAAATTCAAGCTCCTGTGCCTTAACGAACTGCTTAAGATTCCTCGAACTTTTCGTAATGATTTTTCTATCAGTGCATCATTGAGTACAGATTGTATGCTATGAGCTTCATAAATAATTTTTGCTCAGATTAAAAAGTCTGTTGACGTTTGTCGCATCCATTAGCAATAATTTCAAAAATGTCGTAGAAAATATATTGAAGATACAAAAGAGCTGAATAAAGAGGGAAAATATAGACAAAATAAAGATAACTCAATATACCGGACGCCTAATTGTGTGGGATATAAAGCCAAAAGTAACTATGTATGTACATACATATGCAGCAGAATTTATGTTGAAGGTGAGAACTTATTAAAGTCAGTCGGTTTTATTTGTTTAATGTGCGCAAACCTTCGTAAACTAAAATTTGTGGTGAACGCTATGCATCTCTATAATATCAGCAAATACATTTACTCTAAATAAATAAATAATCTGTATTTATTTAAAGAGTGCATAACAAATATCCAACACAAATGCACACAAATGATGAGGACGGTGGATTGAGTCAAGGGAGACTTGTTATTGCATGTTAATACTCTAATAGACTCGTAGATTACTGTTATTTCTCTACTGCATAAATATACGCATATAAACACGCATAGACACGATTCTGATGTAAATGAAAGCTGTTGAAACTGCACATTAATGTATGTCTCACTTTATGAATGTTATTGAAAATTTTTAATTTACTTTTTAATTAAAATTTTTTTAATAAATTAACATTTTTATCAAAATTTATAATTTTTTTTTTAAAGTTAATTTACTTTTTTTTTTTTTGAGGCGATACAGGTTATTTAAGAGTTGAGCCCGCTCGAATATAGCATTCTTTTATTGTTATAAATAGTTTTAAACTGATAGTTTATTTCCCTGTATTACAGCTTTTTTGCTATGCCTCATTCTTTATTAATGAAATATTATTAGAATTTTTCATACATCACAAAACTACATATGTTGTGTATACAAACTAGACAGCTGCATGAATGGCAAAATAACCACATTCGAATATACAATGCTCAAAATGAGTTGAGTGAATTAGAATGCAAAGGCAAACTGATATGAATGAATGAGTATACACACGTACAACTCAGTCGCACTCAGTCGAAACGTAGAAAAACGAATTGAATGGAGTGAGAATACGAAAAATTTAGACTTAGTTCTCGAATGATTCGAATGGCAAATCGGTAAAAAGGAAAGAACAAGATAGAACGCTACAGTCGAGCAAGCCCGACAGTAAAATACCCTGTACTTTCCTCAAAAAAGAAAATAAAAAAATATTTAAAAACATTTAATTAATTAATGAAATTAATGTTTTCCGAGATGTTAATTATTTCATTCCGTTTTACGTTTCATTTATTCCAACTCATTTCAATGAATGTCGTATGCTATGAGACACAAGACGCATTCATATTCATACAAATTCATTTCATTTTCAATGTTCCACTTACTCAACTCAATTCAATTCGGTTTCATTCTTTTCAACGTACCTTATGAATGAAGCCATGCACCTGTCTAATACAAACATATGTACAAGTATGTCAAACAGCGGATATACATATGCCATCGGAATTATGTCGCTATGCTGTAAGAGGGGTGGGGATGAGTGCTTCTTCGTGCGGTGTAGAAAGATCTTCATGACAAACAAATATAATGTTTCTAGTTAGTTATTGTAAGTATTAATAAATCCTTTTGCATGTCCAGTGTAATAATTCTCTCACATGAAAGTGTAAAATCGCAAAAATCTAATGCACCATTTAGCTGTTTGGGTGTAAGTAAGCTAATTAATAGTTATTTAAAATGTATTTTGTTTAAATTCTTACCAGGTTCGATTCCGTCTCTTAGTGCTGGGTTAGCGTTTGGAGCATTGCTTGGATACGGCGCCTATCTAAACTCGCAGGACCCACCACGGCCGTTACTACAACTTGGAACTTCACTGTTCCTGGCGGGCATGATGGGAGCTCGTTGGAATCGTTCTGGTAAATTAATACCGGCCGGAATGGTATGTGTTATTTCTGTGGCAGCGGTGGTGCGGAATTTGATTACATATAATAGGTATTTGCCACTGCCTTCAAAGTAAACATTACTTTGCTCAGTGTTGCTGAGGTACTAAATCATTTTTCAAAAATCAGCATGTATGTGTACATAAACTCGCTTTTAAATATCAATCGCAAAATAAAAATGATTTCATAAGATAGTTTGGAGTGGTTTATTTGCGAAAACTATTGTGTTACTACAAAGGATTGTAATGCATCCATGCTGAACCAAGCCAAAGCATGTATGCAATTGTCAGCCTTGACATGACATGGCTACGGTTAACAGGTAACTTGAGTCTTTTCCCTGGTCAGCTTATAACGTCGCGGCATGACGGTGATCAAGCCATAGAGTGTAAGCTCAGGTTAAGTTTAATGAAATAAGAAAAGCTTGGAAATTGGATAAGTTTTGAGAGCGTCGAAGAAGAAGGCTGCGTGTTTCCTGTGCACTTTGGAAATATGTATATGTTCCTTGACCGCTCGTTAAGACAATCAGAACTAATATTATTTAGGGTGCCTGATCGCTCAGATCATCCAAAAATTGCCGCTAGGCAAAAGTGAAGGTTTCCCTCGTTGCAACTACTCAAGTTGATATGTATATAAGTCCCTATGTGCTTATATACAGCGACCGCGTTAACTTGCACTACAGTGCACCAAAACAAGCGAATGAAGAAATAAACAAACTGCACAAGTCGACTTCCAATTTTCAAGTGTTTATTGCTAGCCGTGCAAGGCTTAGCATTAGCATAACATAATGTGGACATTGACTTAACAGAGAGCGAGCGAGAGACTAACATAAACATATGTTATTACAAATTAAATTTATGAGCGCTTACAATTAATTGCTTACAACAGGCTTAAATCTACAATTCAATAATAATTCAAACAACTTATATCTAGAATTCAGAATATTTCAACAAAATCTATGCTTAAATATACATACTTAAGTATAAAGGCATGAAATGCCCATACATCGGCCGCGTTGAAGCGATTCGCTTCAAAACAGCTCGGCTGGTAGAGGCGCTAAGCGATGAATTGCCCTCTTAAATTCTCCTGCCTTCGTCCGTATTATCACCACGCGCACTTTTCCATCTGCGCCTTTTATCGCCTCTTGGACGAATCCCAGCATCCACTGCTGAGGCGGCGCGTTGTCCTCGTGGACGAGTACGATCGTTCCGTTCTCCAGATCTGGCCCACTTTTGGCGCTGCTGCAGGCTCAGCAGGTAGTCTTTTGACCAGTCTGCCCAAAACCGCTGCTTGATGGCTGAGATCAGCTGCCACCGTTGCAAGAAGGTCAGCCTGTCGTCTCTCACGGGCTGCCCTGACCCGGTTGGCAGCGGCACGACCGTTCCGCCTACGAGTAGGTGAGCTGGAGTTATCGCCTCGCCGTCGTTGGGATTCGCTCCGTCCACCACGATTGGCCGCGAATTGAGGATGGCCTCCACCTCTACCAGGACAGTTGCTAGCTCGTCCTGCCGCATCTTGGCGATTCCTAAACTCGAACGTTATTCCCTTGGTGGCAGCATACGACCTGATGACATCCTGGTTGCTGATGAAAGTGGCCCGGAACTCCTCCAGCAAGCGCGCTGCACCCACAAAGTTGGTGGCATTGTCGCAGTAGATTCGACTGACTGCTCCACGCCGACCCACAAACCTGGAGAGACACATAATAAAAGAATTAGCAGTCAAGTCGGCAACAATGTCAATGTGGACAGCTTTAGACGTAAAACACACAAAGACGGCAACGTACATCTTAACTGGAGCTCTGCCACGCACCCCCAGCGTGACAGGAATACGACCACAAAAGTCCCCTCCGCTGACTTCAAACGGCCTATATCCATGTAGCCGATCAGCGGGTAAATTTCCCATTATTTGGTTGGCTAGTATTGGCTTGTATCGAAAACAATGCACACACTGCCGAACCACTGCGTTGCAGGCTTGTCTAGCGTTTACCAGCCAAGTATTCTGGCGAAGAATAGCCAAGAGCGTACGAGGGCCTGCATGGCAATTGGTAAGGTGCAAGTACTGCAAATATTAATTAACAAATCGCCATTCTTTTGGCATGAGTAATGGGAATTTCGCATTGTGGGGCAACGGCGCCTTGAGTAAACGGCCGCCAACTCGTACCAACATCAAAGTTCGCTTTCCATACTGATACGGACTCAGAAATGGATTAAGCTTTTGGTACGACGGTTGCAGGATCACCGACTTGTCTAATTTGACTATTTTGGCCGCGAGAGCAATATTACGTTCACAATAGCCAAAAAAGCGAAGTGCAATTCAGCCGAAGTTGGCGCAAGCGAAATGTGTCCTGACCCCTTTCCGTTTATAAATCGAAACATTTACGACACTATGCGCAGAATTTTTAAGTACGACGACGACCTTTCAATTAAATCCAAAATTGGATTTGAAGCATTATCGGCCGCGATGAGAACCGTCGCATTCTTCTGCTTCTCCAGCACTGATTGCTCTTTGGTCAACTTAATGTGAGAATTAGTTGGCCAAAGGTTCTGGTACAACCACGCGAAGTTAAGTCAGTTGGATTTTCTGCAGTCGGTACATGGCCCCAAGTGGCGTCTGATGTCAATTCCTGTATGGTAGCAACTCTATTGGTGACAAATGTATTCAAATGTGAAGGATGAGTTTGCAACCAATGCAGGACTACCTCTGAATCAGACCAAAATACGATTTGGTCCACAGGCACATGGAGAAGATGCCGAACTTTCTCCCACAAATTTGCGAGCAAGTGTGCTGCACACAATTCTAATCGTGGCACCGACTTCGTTTTCAGAGGCGCTACCTTCGACTTTGCAGTCAGCAAATTCACAGTTACTGTGTGCTCTCGCTCAATTCGGAGGTAAATACAGCACCCATAAGCCCTTGTCGATGCGTCGGCAAAGCCATGAACCTGACATTTTGTGCCTTTGGTGACGCCGACATATCGGGGAATGCGGATAGCTTCAATCTCACAAAATGACTGCGCAATTGACTGCAAGTCTGGCAGAAAATGGTCAGGAATTTGGTCATCCCGAGCGGATTTTTGAAGCCAAATTTCTTGCATCAGAATTTTTGGTCGAGTGATAATCGGACAAAGTAAACCAAGCGGGTCGTACAATCTGGATATAAACGAAAATATCGAGCGCGGTGGGGGCAATGTCTATCGACATGTTCGAATCGAATATTTATATTTATATGTATCCTCCTGATGGCCGATCACCATTTCGTCAGAAGGCGACGCTTTAAATGTTTCACAATTTGATGCTCTTTTCGTTAGGGTAAAACCGAACGATTCGAGCACTGAAACTAGCTCATTCCGTAGCATTCGCAATTCTTTCACTGTATCTGCTCCAGATAGCAGATCATCTACATAAAAATCGCTAGCAAGCGACTTTGATGCCAACGGATGTGAAACAGCATGTAGCTCACTCAGGTACTTTAAGCAACGGATTGCCAGAAAAGGTGCCGAAGCAGTACCGTATGTTACCGTGTTTAAACGATACAATTGGAGTTGCTTCTCCAAATAATAAGCTGGAAATTGCGATGCGATTCGTTGATTTCGACTTGTTGGTACATTTTTGCAATGTCTGCCGACAGGGCGAATGGATGATGTCGAAATCGCAACAATGTTGAGTATAGACATGGCTGTATGGTTGGACCAACCATCAGGATGTCATTTAAAGACAATTGTGACGACGTCTTGCTAGACGCGTCGAAAACGACTCTCAACTTTGTTGATGTGCTTTGTGGCCTTAGCACGCATTGGTATGGTATAATGCGACTCTCTCGGTACACTGTTTTCAATGGCACTCATATGGCCCAATGAAATGTACTCTTTCATAAAGGTAATGTACATCGACTGTGTATCAGGCTGCTTTGCCATTCTTCTTTCCAGAGCCAAAAACCGCCTTAAGGCTGTCTCATACGAATTTCCGAGACTTTTGGGACTGGATTTGAATGGCAACGAAACAGTCAGCCTGCCCGAGGGTAAGCGATTGACCGATTCGAGAAATGTTCTGGGGTGTACAAACTCTGATCGGACAAATTTGGAACTTCTTCCAACTCCCAGAATTTACGGATGAGACTATCTAGTTCCTTACATTCTGGATTTGACAAAGAGCTCTGTTTTAAGCTCACGAGCGATGTTGATGGCAGGTCAGTTGACCCCGCAGAACGACAACGGCCAGCTACAATCCAGCCAAGTGCCGTAGATTGCAAAGCCGGCGAGTCACTGGTACCCTTTATTTGCCCTTCTCGTAGCAAATCAAAAAATGCATCTGCCCCAAGTAGCAGATCTATGCGTTGCGGCCGATGGAATTGCGGATCTGCCAATTCACAACCGTTAGGCCCGTCAACGTCTACTACCAGTTTTTCAGGCTGGTACGAAGAAATGTTATTCAACACTGCAAATTCTGCCGTCAGCTCCAATTTGTCAATTCGAGAAGCTTTAGCAGTTTGAACGATATGACGTACTTCAGACTTTCGTTTGCCTATGCCTAATAAACAAATGTCTTTGCGCTCCTTCTTAAGCTTTAGGACTCTGGCCAAGTCCTCGGCCATGAAATTGACCTGCGTCTAAAAGTGCCCTGGCTAATTGGTAGGAACCTGACTGGTCCATTACCTTAACAATTGCTGTTGCCAAAATTACTTGGTCAGTCACTGTCGTGGCATGGTTTACCGCCGACGTTTGCGTTGGTACTGCCGATTGTGCTACCAACGTGTGACTAGAAGCCGCAGCGAAATGTTCGAACTATATTCGTACTTGTGCAAGAGCGTGTGATGCGGCTTCGAACAGACTCTGCAACAACCAGATTTGCAGGATTTAGTCGTATGACCTTTTCGCAAACAGTTTATGCACAACTGGACCCGTTTCACAAATTTAAAACGCTCATCTCTAGCGATCGCTGAGAATTGAGGACATACTTGTATGTAGTGGTCATTCGACTGACAAAACGGACACTTAGGGGTCAATGGCTGACTTGGCTGTGCTACTGCCAACGCCGTTTTACCATTCCTTTTTGACCCATCGGAACTTGGCTTCTTGGGCCGGCCAGACGATGCCTCCTCAGCAGACAGATTCTGGTAGCGTTTATAAAGAGTGGCCTTCCGTTCTTCCCAAGATAAAGATTGACTGTAGTCGAGGCCGTCTTCCCATTTGGATCGAGTG